TGTTCTCCTTGCGGCGCTGTGCGTGAACAGCGCGGCGAACCATCTTGCGCCGAGCGACGGCGGTGCGAGGGCGTATGCGGCTATCGTGCTGCTGCTGACCGCTGTGCTGCTTGCGGTCACTGTGTACAGCGTCGTTGTGCGGTACGCGGAGGACCACCACTGGCAGGAGCTGCGCGAGCCGCGTCGTGGTGGGCTGGAGGCGCTGCTGCGCGATGACGAGGAGAGCGACGAGGAGACGCAGAAGCTCCACGAAATGACGTCATTGTCGTACGCCTCAGGCACCACCGTTGCGTCGTCGTACCGACCACCCGCACAGCAGGAACTCATGGCCGGTGACACCCGCTCAGACGCACAGAGCGTGCTCGACCGTGCATCCAGTGCGAGCCGTATGATCGATTACGCCGCCATGTGACGTACACCAAGTGGAATTAGTAAGTGTGAGGTGCTTGAGGGGCCACGGCTGCGCTGCGCACCACAGCCATCTATCGTTAAGAGCACCGACAGTTTTGTTGGTCGTTGTTTCTATCGATTTGTTCCTATTTTGAGCGGGTGCTTTCAGGAGTTTTTTCCGTTCCACGATGACTGTGTGGAAGGGGATTGAGTTGTCGCTCTTGTTACTCCTGATGTCGTGTTGTATCGGAATGTAATTTCATGGAGTTGCGTGCGAGGAAGTCAACGCTCATTTTGTGCAATGGAAGAAGGGATCCAGCGAACCGCCTAGTGGAAGTAATGGATTGCAGCTCGACTTACCGTGGATTTCCATGCAGGAGACATTACACTTCTCAGAAACAAAGCGGCGACAGAGTAGCTGCAGGGCTCCGGGTTTTCAGGAACGTCTTCGAAAGGGATTATGTATTGGGGCGCGACGCATTGTCGTAATTCCAGCCTGTTCTGGTGTGGCGAGTGCACAGGGTGATCGTTGTCTCTTTAGCGGTAGAACTGACGGACAAAGTCATCCCAGTCACGTTCCACACTTATCCTCGAGCGCACCACATTCCACAGGCAAGGGATATCGTCGCGGATTGGCCACGCTGGTACGGGGAGGCCCACACGAGGAATTGCTTCTTTTTTTAAAATTTCCCTCCGATCGTGCGAAATTCATGCACCACAGCAGATACAGAGGGGTGTGGTGTTAGCGTGGAGGGTACGATATTTACCGAGACTTTCTCCACGGCAGCGTGCGTCTATGCACCTTCTCATTGAACCGTGGAAGCACGCGAGCACACGTCGACGGTTCTGGATCACCTGGTAACTCGCATTGTGGACGTACCCTTTTTTCCCGCCCGCAGCACTGAGTAGCGCACACGGATGCAGCTTGTCTTTGGCCACTGCGACACACCCAAGAACGAGGCATGTGATGCATAAGCCAAGGAGGCGTCCGACCTCGCACAATTCACAGGCACATGGAGCACCGGCATCGTCGCATTGGCCGAACGTATTATTCGTGTCCGACAGCTTAAGCCAGAAGCTTGCCGCTCCACTGTCGCAGACGACTGGGAACGGACGCGCACGGACTCCACCCTCACTCGTGGGGAAGAGGCCGCACTGGCCTGCTTTCGCACCGGAGTTTCCCACAAATACGGATGGCTGCCACGACCACTGCAGCCCGCCACCCCACGCACATGCCGTTGCTGCGGCGCGGATGCCGCACAGCAGGCACGCCAAGGAATTTGCACGGAAACGCCTCCTCCTCCCGCTGGACCCCACCACGCCACGATCCGACGCCCGGCAGACTGCCCGGTGTGCGGCAAGCACTGCAGCTGCCGCGCCAGCGTCGTGACGCACATGGTTAACGCCCAGGGCATTACGCGCTCCCAGGCGCTGCGGGAATTTGATTTTCCCGGTGAGCCGGAGCCGCCAGAAATCCCACCGGAACCACCGCCCAGCGCTTGAGCGAGGACGAGAGCGAGTGACGTCACACTGATCGCACCTCCGCCGCAGACTGCACAGCCCAGGCCGAAGCTACTCTCATGCAGTTTCCGCACGGCGTCGTACGAAAAGCAGGGCGGAATCGTACTTCATCTTCGGCACTTCCACAAGCAAGAGTTCCCCGAGAAATAGGAGGCGCTGCCAGGAATATGAAGGTCTGACGGCATCCACACCGTTCGAATGCACGTACTTTGAATTCAGGGCTTAAGCGAAACCGGGACCACCATCCCGCATACGAGCACAAGAAAACTCCAGCACAGAGCCACGGTCGGCACCGAAGAAGGAAGCACTTCGTAAATGCCCTTGATGCGACAGGCAGGCGGGCAATGCCGGGGGATTGAACACCCACACACGGCACAGTCTCTCCGACGACGAGAATGTTACTAAGCTAAAAATAAAGATTAAATAGCCACGCGCTGCAAGGCTCGAACCTCCGCATGAAGAACATCAAACCCACACAGAAACCCCACCTCTGCACAGGAGGAGAATGCCACCGAGAAAAAATGCACCGTTTCCCTAAAATGGCACGCACACATGCGTTGATGAACGTCACGCTGTCGCTGATTTCACGACGGCGGAGAGGTGAGGCCGCCGAGAAAGCGCACGTTGCCCGGTGACGACAGCCCGATGGGATCACCACCAGTTTATTTTTGCCGTCCAACATGCGAGTTTAAGTGCCACAGCAATGCCTCTCTGACCCGCTACCGGACTGCACGCCACGGATTATCGAGCCACCGCGCTATCCCCGGGACGGGTGCGTAGCGGTGTTGTGTGCTTCACGGCCTCCGCTGCGGCTCCCACTTCGGGTGCCGGGGCTCTCTTTTACATCTCCGATCGTTGGGCGGACATGCTCTGCGATGGTGGCTGGCGTGTGGGCCTTTGTATTTATTTGAGAAGACAAGAGGAATAGTAACAAAATATATATATATCGAAAGCGCTGAATAGATATTGGTACCGTTATTTACATACCTATCTATATAAATATGCAGCCAATAAAATAGCAATTCAATAAACCAAGAAACCAAGCGATCTGTCAATTTGTAGGAGAGAGAAGGGATATATCCATATCTATACAGATGCATCAATAAATAAGAATAAATTATCGTTTTTATACTCATACCCATATCGATATATCTATACATTGATCAGTGCTTATTTTCATATATATATTCCTCATATAATTTTTTTACCGTTCTTTCTTATTTGTGGCATTTTGCTTCCGTTATACTATGTATTCTTCTCCCGTGAGTTCATTCTTACTTTTTTAGAGCGCATAGGCATTTCGTCCCACAGACAAGTTTTCATATGCACTGAAACACCCCATCGGACAAAATGTCGCGAGGGGTTTGCGAAGCCCATCCCAATTGAATGATGATTGCTATCTTCTTTGATCTCCTGAGGAACTGCGACGTGTGAGTGCGTTGCCCCCGAGACCCAACACAATGACAAATTTCAACGAGCAGTTTGCAGGTTCATTGTGCAGTTTCCTTGAGGTGTAGTCCACACCCGTATTTTGGGGGTGAATACACGGTGTACCTGTAGGGGATGCTGAGGGTGGCGTCAGCGAGGCATGGGAAAACATGTGCTCCGGAACAAGTGTCTGGCGTTGGCCAGAGGAGGTCTTGTGTCAACGGCACCACTGATTGATGGCCATTGATTTTGGGGCTTTGAGCTTCGGTGCTTTGAGGAATGGAACGGCGCTGGCTGACCAGGTGCCACTCGCCATCTGAACTCTCCTGGATATGGCTTAAGAGACGATGCGGGCGCATGCAGAGGGGGGAAAGGAAATAGGACATTGTGTGGACAAGCACGTGGACGTGTCAGATGGTCACAATATCCCTCAAGAAGTGTGGAGCCCCCGACTTAATGATTCGACCGTCCTGATAAAACTGCCTGGGGTGGAGGTGAGTGCGCTGACCTCCGTTTCTTTGAATTTTTCTTTATTTGGGAACGGCTGCGCAGCTGACGTGGAGGGACATCATGCGCACCTGATTCCGGCGTGTGCGATGACGTTTCTCACATTTGAGGGCGATTTCCCCGGTGATTTACTCAGTCAGCCTCACTTTTTTCCCTTGACGACACGTCGCAACGCGGGGTTGGTGCTGAGCGACGAAGGCCTTCCGTCTCGCTTGGAACCAAAACGGAGAGCCCATGAAGACGCATGCTGCTCGCGATTGGTTGACGCGTTGCCTGGGAGGAGTCTGTTTGCCACCGTGGAGCATCTCTTATTCGCTTGATTGCAGAGCCCTCTACACATTACACAGGCCTCGTGCTCCTGAGTAATGCCGATAGGGCGGATCGCATGATGGTGTTTTATTGCTGGAAGGCTCTGTGAGGAGGAAAAATATTATTTATTCTTTCTTCTTCCTGGACGAGACGAATCCTTTCCTTGATTGAAGTACGAGTGCCTTGTCGCAGTTCTTTTCGACTGTTGGTGGCTTTGGTGTTTATTCCAATCAATGGCTTTCACTGGCGGCTTCAAGGCCTAATATCGACTGGTGCCGTCGTTCTTGGGCCCACGTTGCTTGGCCCATCAATTATTTGTGCAACTGGACAACAAAGTTCCCTGTGGGCGTGGATCACGTTTCGCGGAATATGACTACAACAGCTGCTGAGCGGGATGGTGGTTGTTGCTTCCTGTATGACTATGGCAATGTTCTTGCGGATTTCACTCTGTTGCGTGTAAGTGATGTTACATCTGTGCCCCTTTGTGTGGCAGAGGCCTGAATCAACGGAGGATAGAGTGTTGTGATGAAACACAGCACCGACAACCCTCATGTTGCTCATCGTTGTGCTCGTTTTCACTGCGGTCCTCGACGTGGGGAAAATTTTATTTTGTGCGGTATGGAGAGCACTCATCCGGTGGCATATTGCCGTGTGGTGGTCTCTGGTTCAAAGGACCCTGTGGAATACTTTGTGAGGGCGAAGGATGATTGCAGAACTGTCGTGCCCGCACAGACGGAGACGAGAACGGGGTGGTTGATGTGCCCTTTAACATTGCGCTTTCAATTGCGTCATTGGATGCGTGCAGAGCAGGTGGCTCTTTGGTGTCTGTTGGCTTCACGGCCAACCCGCTGGTCCCTTCTGAAGGGCATTCAAGAGCATTTTTCCTCTGAGGGTGTTTCTTCTGGGTGGTCCGCACACTGCAGTTTCCGCTCCGTTGGGCCTTTTCTTTGGTGAGAGGATGGTCTGTTGCACCTCTTGGACCTTTGTGGAGGGGGAGGGTCATGGGGCAACATGCCCGCCGCTTCGGTGTTGGCGCACCGCGTACTTGTGGCCGCGTTACGCAGGAGACATAATCCTCGGTTGCAGGATGAAAGCAACGTGTTCTTGTCCCTTGCCAGCAATGCACGGCCTTCTTGTTATGTTGTTCGGGCTTTTCTGCTGGACAACGAGTTTGAAAATGGTTACGAGGGATGTGTGGCTGCAGAGTTTGAGTGCCGCTTTTTTCTTTTTTTTTGACGGGCGGTGTTGAGGAATTAC